GATCAGAGATATGAATGGAAAGTACTCCCTCAAGGGATGGCTAACAGTCCAACTATGTGTCAAATATATGTTAACAAAGCAATCCAGCCACTTAGAAATCAAAATCCTGAACTACAAATATTTCACTATATGGATGATGTATTATTGGCACATAAAGATAAAAACATATTGCTGGAATGTTATGCCACACTTACAAACTTATTAAAAAATTATAATCTAGAGATAGCAATAGATAAAGTACAATTAAATTTTCCAATTAATTATTTAGGAGTTCTACTATCCTCAACCATGGTCCATCCACCAAAAATTCAAATACGAGTAGATCAACTCAAATCACTTAATGACTTTCAAAAGTTATTAGGAGACATAAATTGGATAAAGCCTTATCTAGGTATACCAACAGGAGAATTGGGACCTTTATTTGATATTCTAAAAGGTCCATCAGATCCAAATTCACCCCGCATGTTAACTCCTAAAGCAAGAAAGGCATTAAAAATTATTGAAACATATATGGAAAACATACATTTGGATAGAATTGATATAAGTTTGCCTTTATTATTTATTGTACTACCAACAAAAAATATTCCTACAGGAGTATTTTGGCAAGAAGGTCCATTATTGTGGATACATTTATCTTATTCTCCTAACACTATTCTTACTAGGTATCCTGAGGCTGTAGGACAATTAATACTCAAAGGAATAAAAGCAGCAAAGGGAGTGTTTGGAATTTCTCCCAATAAAATTATTACTCCATATACTATGGATCAAATTGATGAGTTAGCTAATGAGTTAAATACTTGGGCAATAATCATGTGTAAATCTAATGTTACATTTGATAATCATTTACCATCTAATCCTTTGTTGTCTTTTTGGTCTAAGCATCCTGTAGTTTTTCCTAAAATGACAAGAAAAACACCTATCATGAATGCTCCAAATATATTCACTGATGGGTCTAATAATGGTACAGCAGCAGTAGTTACCCCAGATCGAACTTTTACATTTTTAGTACCAAAACAATCAGCTCAAAAGGTAGAGCTTAATGCAGTTTTACAAGCCTTTTTGATGTTTAAAGATTCTGTATTTAATTTATTTTCTGATAGTCAGTATGTAGTTAATGCTATAGTATCTCTTGAAGATGCTGGTAGGATTTCCCCTTCTTCTACTGTTTTCTCTTTGTTTTCCACTATACAAAGTCTAATCTGGGACAGAAAAGATCCATTCTTTATAGGACATATTAGGGCACATACAGGATTGCCTGGAGCCCTTAGTTTAGGCAATGATTTAGCAGATAAAACTACACATGACATACATATTTTATCTACATTTGAAGAAGCTACAAATTTTCATAAAAGGTTTCATGTTAATGCTAATACTTTACAAAAGCGTTTTAAAATAACTAAGGAACAAGCCAGACATATAATAAAACAATGTCAAAATTGTGTGACATTTTTACCACAAGTTAATCTTGGAGTCAATCCTAGAGGACTGATACCTAACCATATTTGGCAGATGGACGTCACACACTTGCCAGAATTTGGAAAATTAAAATATTTACACGTTACAGTTGATACTTCTTCTGGATTTTTGATGGGCTCCCTTCATGCCGGAGAAAAAACTAAAGATGTTATAGCTCATTGCTTACAAAATTTTGCCACTGTGGGCGTTCCTAAACAGTTAAAAACTGATAATGGTCCTGGCTATACCTCTACCTCTTTTAAATAATTTTGCTCATCATTTGGTATTACTCATATAACAGGAATCCCATACAATCCACAGGGACAAGGCATAGTTGAAAGAGCTCATCAAACTATTAAAACATACTTATTAAAGCAAAAAGAGGGAATTGGAAGGGGGTATATATCCCCCAAAGATAAACTTAAAATAACGCTTTTTACTCTAAACTTTTTAAATTTGGATTCATCAGGACTTAGTGCTGCGGAAAGGCATATGTATCCAAAAAATGTACATAAGCCTAAAGTACTTTGGAAAGATATTCTAACAGGACAATGGAAAGGTCCTGACCCAGTGATTGTCTGGAGTCGGGGGTCTGTTTGTGTTTTTCCACAGGGAGAACAGCAGCCCATTTGGATTCCAGAGAGATTAACTAAAACAGTTTCTACAGATCGAAAAGAAGATGATTTGACTCAAATCCATAACAGCTGATATCCAGAACTCCAGCTTGGCCATTCTTACATCTGCGACAGTGATTAACCAGGATGCTTTTTTCAATAGCTATTTTATTATTGCATTTTTCCACATCATAAGGTTCTATTTTTATTTTTTGAGCTCATACAAACCTAGGTTAATGTTTTTCTGATCAGTTTTATTTTTTGACTGTGGAGTTTTTAAACATTACAATGGAGATTTCACCCAGGATAATGTCTCTTTAGCATCATTGCCAGAATTCCTATCTCCATCCCAGTGCCGGTGAAGAACTCAACAAGTAATGCTCAATCAAAGAGTCAACTTACTTTGGGAGGAAACGGATTTTGGGAGGAAATGGACATATTGATAGATTCCTCTGCTTTGAACTGCTTGCAGAACTTGCCTGGACTATGTAACTATCGTTTGGTGCAGCGAATTGTGGTAATGCTGGCATATCTTTGCTGATGGTGTCACTAGTGATGCAATTTTTATTTCCTTGCCAGCGCACCCCATGTTAATTGTGGTAGTGCTGACATATCTTTGCTGATGGTGTCACCAGTGACGCAATTTTTCCCAAGGAGCCGTCAATTGGCTTGGTGTCGTGGCATTTCTGTATCCTCCTCCCTTCTGCTAGTGATGGTCTAAAATTTGGGGGCCAATGGCTTATGCTGGACCGGTAGTCAGTGACGGGTATGATCCAATTGCAGTGGTATCAACCTAAGACAGGAGGCTGACGCCTAAAGGTCAGTTTTCCGATGACGGGTAAGAACCATATGTTGAATTGGACAACCTACCAGGCACGGTCCATAAGCTACATTAACCTCACTCCCCCACTGGCACCAAGGCCAAATTTGGGGGCCAACAAAGGTGAGGCAAAGAACCTCACCCCCCCACTGGTGCATAGACCTATCCACAAGTATGGCTATATGCTGGACCGGTAGTCAGTGACGGGTATGATTCAATTGCAGTGGTATCAACCTAAGACAGGAGGCTGACGCCTAAAGGTCAGTTTTTCCCATGACGGGTAAGAACCACATGTTGAATTGGACAACCTACCAGGCACGGTCCTTAAGCCACATTGCTTGTTGTTTAATTAATCAGAAGGGGGGAGATGCTGGGAGCCATTAGCCAAGTAGGTATGACAATTTCCTTGCCAGCGTACCCCATGTTGCAGTGACATTGAATGTACGTGACCTTGCTCAAGGACCAAGGCAGATTAGGGTGTTCCCGGTTTTAAGATAATCGTGTTTAGGGCGTTCCCAGTTTAGGTTCCAGGTTTAAGGTTTAAGATTATTCCTGCTGGGAATAGGGCGTATCCTGCTGCCTGAGTTCCCCTTGAGTTCTCACGGGATTCAGACAGTATATTTTGGAGACAGAAGCCCAGTGGAGGTGGATTTGGGCAGAGAACGTGGATTTCCCCAGAACGTGATTGTAGACGGCTGGTGTGAGTTCGGGAATAAAGAGTTGCTGTTTGAATCTGCAAGCTGTGTGGTGGCTCGTGATTGTGTGCCCAGCCAGACTGCGGCACTCTACCACTTTGAGCCACAACCCCAGCCCTTAATAAGTGTTTTTAGAATAACTGGATAACCTAGCCAAAAGATAAAAGATAAAATTAGAGCTAGTCTTCAAACCATATATCAGAATAAATTCCAAATACATTAGAGATCTAAATGTAAATAAAACCTTACAAGTATTAGAAGAAATTATAGGTGAATTCCTCCATGATATGGCCTCAAAATGTCCACATCCAATCCCCAGCATCTGTGACTATGTACCCTATATGGCATGATATGGTTAAAGTTAAGGTGGTGAGATTATCCTTGGTTATCTTGGATCTCAGCTGGGTCCAATATAATCACGTGAGTCCCTACAAATGGACAATCTTCCCTGGTTCTTATCAGAGAGACATGACTACAGAAAGGGGTCATAGGTGCATCACTGCTGGCTTTGAAGATGGAGGAAAGAGGTTGGGAGCCTAAAAGAACAGGGATGGCTTCCAGAAGCTGGAAAATTCAAGGAAACAGATTTCCTCCTAAAGCCTGCAGGAAGAAACACAGGGTTGCTGAAGCCAGTTTCTCCACTTCTGCTGGAAGGTGGGGTCTGCATAAGCTGCTGCCCTCTGCAGCCAAGAAAAACCCCATTTTAGTGTTAGCAGCTAATCAAGGCAAGAGATGCCTGAAGGCATCAGCTCCCAGGATTGAAGCCAGCAAAGCCAGACTCTTCTCCACATATTACTGAGTGGCATGTTGCAGCTCTTAATGGTGGGCTATGCCCTCCAGTGAGTGTCACAGCAGACCCCAGAAGCTCGCTACCAACTTCTTTCCAGGTTCTTATCTCAAGCAAAAGTGAAAAGAGTAGGATTTATTCAAGTGGGAAAAAGAGACAGAACTCTTAAAGGGTGAGAGGGGACCCAATAGCAGTTTGCTGCTTGAGTATGCTAGTGTCCACTTGGGTCAATGCTATTGATCCAAATTTATATTAATCAGGTCTTGAAAGTCTTAATGCTATTGGTTGGTCCTGCCATCTCCATTTGGGTCTGCCCCATTTGTTTTCCTGCCGTGCCTTAGGACATGGGATAAGGATGGTGGATTGTGGCTGCTTGGAGTGCTGGACTGCCATGATGTGTGGAGGGACATCCACACCAGGTTGGGTCAGCTGCCTGGGGTGTGACAGGTTGGTGCACCTGGCTTGCCTTGGCCCTCGCTCACCATGCCTCAGACCTGCACCGGCATGGTGAGCTCCATGCCTGTGCTTCAGGCCACCCGGCTGCATCTCCTGGGACTAGGGATTGGATTCCCTGTCAGTGCCCTGATTTTAGCCCAGTGAGAACTATATTGGACTTCTGGCATACAGGATTGTAATATAATACCTTTTTATTTTAAGCCAACAAATTTGTTGTTATTTGTTAGAACAACAATAGGCAATTAATACATCCTGCTCAGAAAGTATTTTTTACCATAATCATTGTGACAACGACAACAATGATTAGAAGGAGACAACAGCAGGAAGTGCTTAAGCGCCCTGGTACGCAATTCTGGAATGGGCTGGAATAGAAATGCCCCCTGCTGGAATAGAAATGCCCACTTTCAGGGTAGATCTGGATTCTACTCTCCATCTGGCAAGTGGTGTTTGCTTCTGGGCTCCAAGAAGTGGGGAGGTTTGTAGTGCTTGTGGGCATAGCAAGCAAGGAGGAGGAGGGTAATGGATTTCCTGTCTTTGGTCTGGTGACCCTGGCTGCTGCATCTGTTGCTGTATTGTTTGTGGGAGAAGGCATTCGAGTGGCCCGAACAGGGGGAAGTGAGCTTCTTGGTGGCACCTGTTGGGTTGGAAATCTTGGAGCAGTTGGTGGTTTTGAGCTGTGTCTGACATTGGGGTCAGCCTTGGGAGAGTCAGGGACTTTGGGATTCACTGTGGACCTGGGTGACACCTGTGGGGTTGGAAATCTTGGAGCAGTTGGTGGTTCTGAGCTGTGTCTGACCTTGGGGTCAGCCTTGGGAGGGTTAGAGATTTGGGGGCTCACTGTTGACATGGGTGGCACCTGTGGGATTACAATTCTTGGAGCAGTTGGTGGTTCTGAGCTGTGTATGACCTTGGGGTCAGCCTTGGGAGGGTTAGAGACTTTGAGGCTCACTGCTGGTGTAAGGATCTTGTCCACTCTAGAGGCTGATTGTGAGCAGGGGAGATTGGTACAAGTAGCAGTTAGCCTGGGTTCCCCAGCATCCTTGGAGGGTGTGGGCACTGGTGACTCCTTGGCCAGGCCCAACCCGCTCTGAGCACAGGATCCCTGCAGACATGCCTCACAGTTTTTACTGTCATGTGGCCCTTGAAGACAGATATCCTTGATCGCAGGAATCTCCTCTACAATCTTAAATCCTTCTCTGTAGCATTTCTTCAGAATTCGGATCACCAGGTTATTCAGGACCCTTGAGATGTTCTCCTGTGTGAACTCAGGGACCTCAAATGGAGGCTGGGGGCACTTCTTACATCTCTGGGCAAAGACCCTCATCTTCACCTGGCCCCTGTGCTTCTTCTCACTCCAGTGCATGTGGAAAAGGACCTGGACATGGGCAGAGGCCCAACTGCGAGAGCAGGAAGAACACTGGAACCTGTGGAGATAGAAGATGGGAGCTTCAGCCAGATTATGGGCTGCTGCTGAGGGAGGAAGGAGTCACTGAACACAACAGAGACATGATTGGGTTGGGGTCATGGACTAGCAATGGAAGAAACCACTGAGCTCCTTGTTCTCATCTCCAGTGCACAGGTGATCAAAATAGTCTATCACAAACTGTCTGGGCTGGGAATGGGACCTTGGGCACCTTCTAAGTCCAATGTGCCCTCATTAGAGATGAGGGCACCTCTGGGAGCTCCATGCTCTAGAGCCCAGTGGAATACAAGAGGCTGGACTGGAGCTCCAGTCTCTTGACCCTGAGCCAAGGATCCTTCAAACAGATTTGAACAGGTCAAAGGCTACCAGAGATAGATAACCCAAGATCCCTCTGCTGAAGTCCACGAGTGACAACAGTGGGTATTGGTTAGGTCACAAAGCTACAGATAGATCAGGGAGAGAGACTGAAAAGTCCTTGTCCTAGAGAGAAGCTTTGCCGGCCCTTGGTTGCCCAGGGCCACTGATCTACAGCATCAGGGGAGATCACTGTCTGCAACACTGTCTTCTTTTGCTCCCCTCAACCCCATTCCTTTGCTCAAGGTAGTCTGGAGAATGTTGCCTTGGCCTCCAACAGGGTTCAAGGAAACAACACCGTGTCTCAGCAAGGAGGGTAATTTTCTGAGTTAAGATATTTGCACAAGTACCTCTTAGGACTGGGAGAGAAAGAAGGCAGGAAGCACATGGTACACCCATGACAGGAATTACAGGACAGGCAGAGGGCCACAGCATGGCAGAGACATCTGTGCTCACCCTCCCACTTCCAGCCCCGCTTGCAGTTAGGTTGGGGCCATGGGACCAGATGGTCCATGGAGTACGGGCAGCAGTGATGTGCTCCTTCTAACTCTCCAGCTCTCCCCTCAGGGAACTTGAGAGCCATGTGCAAGGTTAAATCTAGGTGTATTGTCACAGCAGCTGAGCCTAGCTTTGCTGGCCTTGATGCAGGGGTGCCGGCAGTCTGAGATGGGGAATTAGAGGGCAATGAGCAGCATAAGTTAGTGTGGACTCTCCCACACCTCTATTCTAACCTGCCCTCTCGGAATGGACCTGAGGATGAGCCAGGGGGAAGACTCCTAAAAGCTCTGAGCCTTGTGATGTCCACAAGCTGGAAGTCAGCATGGGTTGGCCTTGCACAGGGGACTGGGCCACCTTGAGCTGCCCGTTCACTGCCTTGGCCTGGTCATGGTGTTCTGGCTTCACTTCACAATGGGCCAGCCCAGAGTTCCAAGTTCTTCCAAATAAACAGATTGAAAGTTTGGTCAGGGGCTCCCTATGCCTGCTCTGGCCTGGAGAAGCTCCGCCTCCTCTGCTTGGACCCTCCCAGAGAGGGCAGGAGGCAGGATTTATCCCAGGTCTCCACTCCTTGTGTAGTGGGCAGGGCCCTTCTCCCCTCCCCCCAGGTCTTGGGGCTCCATTTTCCCATCTATAAAAGAAAGGGTGAAATGTTGGGTGATTTCCCAGAGTCCTATTTTTAAAAGATTCTATCAGCATAGAGTAGAGGGGGGCAGGATTGATGTGAGTTGCTCAGTACCCTGCTCCTCTGGATTCTCCCTGAGGGGTCTCCTTGGTGCAGTCCACTAAACCCAGGTTGGCCCACAGTCTCCCAAGGTAGGGAACAAGTGTCACATCCCTTTAGTGAAACAGCTGCCATTCCTCCTCCCAGCTCCCATCTCCCATCTCCCCTGCCACCTCTGCAGACTGAATTCTTTATCTGAACATTAGCCCAAACCAGTGCTGAGGCCTGAAATTATATAAAGAAAAATGATTTTTGGTGGGGGGGGGTACTAGGGATTGAATCCACAGAGCCACATTCCCAGCCCTTTTTATTTTTTATTTTGAGACAGGGTCTCACTAAGTCACTCAGGCTGGCCTTGAACTCATGATCCTCCTGCCTCGGTTTCCCGAGTTTCTGGGATTACAGGCATGCACCACTATGCCTGATGGGAAAGAAGATATTTCATGAAGTCAAAACTTGATGGATGGACTTCTTTCTTTCTGTAGTCTTTAATGTGCAAGCGAGATAGGATAGAATAAAGAAAAAAATAAACAGAAGGAAAAAGAGATTAACACTTCAAATCTAAGAAGGTCCACGAATACCCTCACTTTTGCTCCCCAGGCCAGAATTCTTTAAAATCCCCTGATTCTTAGAGTATTAATGCCTACATACATTGCTAGCTTATACAACCTCTTTTTTTTTTAGACTAAACAAAGACAAAGGAAAAATAATGTTAGAGACCTATGATATAGGTACAAATTCTATTAACCAGATATCAACCAGATGTCAACAAGATGAGAACTAGACCACCACCAACTGCCCTCTTCTCTGTAATTAGAAGAACTGAGCTCACTCCTATATACTTCTCACATTCATACAGTTTCCTTTGAAAGAAGAGTCTTAGACCCCCAAAGCAAGTCTTATTCTTGAGACAGCCTGTACTCATTCTCTCTCCCTGTGTATCCCTTATTTTCTTAATCAAATCTCACTTGGGTCTCTTTCTGATTCATCCTCAAATTCTTTTCTGTGATGTAGGTCAAGAACCCGCCAGGGTGGATTTGAGATCGTCCTCTCTCTTCTGGGGGACCTCCTTGGACCTCTATCAAGTGACACAATTTTGAGGTGGAACCAGAAGAGCAACAAGTGTGCACAGTCAGAAACAAGCAAGGATTTTTTCTGGCACATGTACCACAGCATTCCCCTCTCACCTGGCGAAAGTCCACAGCTGGTATTGCATCCAGCCCGGCTGCAGGACGTTGGGAAGAAGGCCCTTGTCTGCTGTGAGGGTCCATTTGTGCCATGGTTTCACCTCCTGAATTAACGTCTGGAATACTTGCCTCCATGCTTCTATGTCCTGACCCTTCTTGTCCCCCATGGTGTGCCTGAATGGGTTGGGGTCTCCGGAGTCCTGACCAGGTGTGTGGCAGGAGGCGAGGTTGTCCACTTCAGAGAATGAGGGCTCCGAATGTCTCTCCCTGTGAAGACCTAGATTGGGACCATGGGACAGATCTCTGCCCCAGGGGCAAAGGTCAGTTGAGTCAGTTTCCAAGTTCAGAGATTGGCAGCAGGTTCCACAGGGCATTTCAAGACACAGAATTCATGGCTTTATCTATCAAAATATGACCAAAGAAGACAGCTCTGGAATCAGTCTCAGTCTGTCTCTGTTGCCTACTTACCTTTCACCTGGAATGCACCTTTTTACCTCTGGAGTCCCTGTAATGGCAGAGGGAGGTCACAGTTGCTCTTCTCTGTCTAATATTTGAAAATCCTTAAACACTGGGATGATGTGTTCATGCTCCAGGAGGAGAGACACAGAGAAGAAGGACACGGCCATTGTGGGAACTCACAGGGATCCCAGCATCATTGTTCCATGCCCTCTAGGTCCTCACTCATGACTAGTCACAGTTCAAGGGTGTCTTGCAGACACTCAGTGGCCTCCAGTTTCCTAGCATGAGTGGGAGAATGGAGATCCCAAGCCCGATCTTTCACCCTTTGGCAATCAAAGCTGATGTTGTTCCAGGAGATGAGGTGACAATTCTCCAGGTGGGTGAGAGGCCACTGGTTCCAGACCAACCAGAAGCCACCACCCTCTTCCCAGAGGTGCTCTGCTATCACCCCACTTCCTCCAGAAGAGGCAGAGGAGGAGGAGGAGGAAGGAGGGGTGGGCAGAGTAGGGGGCCAGCGCCAGAGTGGCAACAGCCCAGAGAAGGTGGACGAGATTCCTGGAGGCCACACTTCAAGGCATTGTCTATGAACATGGTGGTTCTTCCTGTAATGCAGCCACTGACCTGTGTCCTTGGCTATCTCCCAAGAGGAAAGCTGTACTCTTGGCTGGGAGGAAAGGAAGGAAAAGAGGAGGGGGAGGAGAAGGAAACTTTCTGAGGTCCAGCTGCCCACTGCCTCTGCCCGGATGCAGCTCCTCCCGGGGAAGGCTCACACGGTGGCAGTCTCCCCTCCTCCCTCACCAGTTTTGTTTCCCAACATTATTTGCTCAGTTATAAACTAACTAGATTTGGGAAGCCCTTTCGATTTCTCTCTTTTGATCTTCCCTCTTCAGTCTCTTTCTCTGTGCTACACTTTGCCTGATTATTTCAGCTTTTACTAAAAAAGTGTTCTTTTTGAGGTCCATTTTGCCATGTTCATATTTTTTGGGCATTTCACGGGGGACTTCGCTGTTTCAAACAGCTCCCAAACAGGCTGCTGAAGTGCCATGTACTGTTCCTAACAGCAAGAAGCCTGCAGTACTCCTTACAGAGAAATGCAAGTGGTGGGTAAGCTTCATTCAGCCCTGAGATATAATGCCGTTGGTTGTGAGTTCAATGTTAATGAATCAACAATATATACTAAATAAAATGTCTTTAGACAGTAAAAACACAAGGTCATGCATCAATCAGATTACCAAAATCTTGTGGCCAGTGGTTCTCAGGAACCCAATTCTACATTTCCCTCAGGAGCGCCAGGTAAGAGCCCAGAATGACCAAATAACAAGAAGCAACTGTCTTCTCCTTCGTCTACCTAGTGATTTGCCTTCTTCCTCATTTCTATGGGTAGAATTCGGGTGTTGAATTTAAGTCTCTGCTGTTACCCAGTTTTTGTTCAGAAGGTTACTAACTCCTAGTGTCGTTAGCGAACAGTCCTAGATCCCACAGAATCCCCGGGCCTCTGCTGTCCTCTGTCTCAAGTCTATGTCCCCAAGACCAAAGTCCACAGTTGCACTCTTTCACCAGCCAGTCTCCTAAACTTATGGTTAAGAACTGCTATCAGCCTTCTCAAAGAGGGTGCCGTGGGTTGAAATGTAGCACCCCAAGAGGCATGTCCACCTGCGAGTGTGTATTTGGAGACAAGGACCTTTGCAGATGTAATTAAGGATCTGGAGAGGAGATCTATTGTGGAAGATTTGAAGTTTCTTTTGATGATAGAACATGACACAATGATATGAAGATCGATGGAAGGCAGAACTTTTTAGTATTTACAGCTCTGAACTAGAGAAGCCTGTGAGATGGGCCACACTGGGTGTCTGGAGATAGGGTACAGCGAGGAGAGCTCATGTGTGGCAAGTGCCCTGGAGTTAGGTAGGTCTCATGGGCTCCCTGAGGATTGGCTAATTTGAATAATTTCAAGGGTTCTGGGGACACATGGGTTCTCCCCAGTCACCTGGTATCTGGCCCTGGAGCTGTTAGGGCAAGTGTACAGTGGTCTGGAGTGTGGGCTTCATCTGCTCAAGAAGGGAAATGGATCTACCATCAGTCAGGGCCTCAAAACTGGGTTAAGAACTCATCAGGCAAAACTAAACACAACACGTAAACTATATTACCAGATCATCCCAGACATAGGGTAGGCCCTAAACCCAAGGACAGGTATTCTTATAAGGGAGAGGCAGAGGGACATCTGAGACACAGAGGCATAGGAGAGGGCCACGTGGAGACAGAAGCAGAGACTGGCTTAAGGCTGCCACAAGCTGAGGAAAGTCTGGTACCCATAGAAGCTCTGAGAGGCAGGAAAGGATTCTCTCGAGAGCCTTTAGAGGAAACGTGGTATTGTACTGCTGACCCTTCCAGAAATGTAAAAGAATAGGTTTATTACGTTTTTTTTTTTTTTACAGCAGCCCTAGGAAATAAAACCTCCTGGGCATCCCAGCTGTCCTGAAGGCTGGACTCCCCTGCCTGCTTCTCCATCAGGTGCAGGGGACAGGAGGAGACCTCAGCACATGCCTAAACTCATGTGGCCTTCTTTCTCCTACTTACTATCACTTCCATGGGTTCAGAGCCTTACTATTTGTTGACTGAACAATTTTATTAATTCCTTAGCTCATGTTCTTCCCTTCTCTCTTAAAAAAACATGCTTTACAGAGTTGCTGAAGAATTCCTCCAAAAATCCAAATGCCACCGTTGGCTCTGGTGGCCTCTTTTCCCTAAACACGATCTGCTGGACTGTGGCTCATATTATCTCTTCTAAGTCCCTCAAATATCCTTATTAGACAGGACTTCTTTAATTTCCTTAAATAAAATAATAACCCTTCCTCTTAGCCTCCCCCCACTCTCTTATCTTCTCACTATCCTGTTTTTTCATTTATTTGCTTTTAAATCACTTCTTGCCTTAGTTCCTAGGAAACTGCCAGTTCTAAGACAGAAAAGGAGGGAATTCTGATTTATCTGAATAGTGCTTGGGTATTTAGTAATTGCTTGATTAAGTGCTGAATGAATTCTGTCCCAAACTGTATTATGGCTCCGTAGAACTATGCCAGCTTGGGGTCTGGATGTGGGAAGAGAGAAGTGGGGTGGGATGGTCTTGCAGTTGTCTTATAGCTTTTAGGAAGGCAACTGTCCATGGTTTTCTGGGTCTGGGCTTTGGAATTATCTCCATTTTCCTCTGATAACTTGCCTCTTCTGAGTCTTTCTTGGACTTGGCATCATCCATGATCTAGTCATACTAACATAGTTCTCTCAGATTCCCAACTTTAAGTTTATTCGAGGTAAGTGTATTCAAGGTAAATCTCTTTCCCTTTCAAACTTGGTCAGTCTTAACCTCTATGATCTTCTTATTGCTAAGCTGTTTAATAAATATGGCTTCCCCTGTTTTTCTTTCATTTTGCACTGTTCCTGTGCTGAATGCAAGAGAAAAACAAAAGAACAACAACAAAAATCATTGACCCAAACTCACCAACCACCTGAGATAAGATTCACAGCCCAGGCCACGGCTTATGTAATGAGCAATTCAGAACCAATAGGAAGCCATGTGATTTCAGAACCTGTGGACTCCCCTGCCACCACCCAGCAGGTGTACCTGTGACATCTCGACCAGATACACAGGTCAGGAGGCCAAAAGGGTCTGAGGTCATGGAGCTCAGGGGCCCTGGTTCTGAACACCTCCAGCCTCACTGCTCTGAGGCTTAGTGTTTTTTGAAGCCTTTTCTTCTTGTGTGTTTCAAGCTTGTTTTCACAATTCTGTTGTAAATGGTGAAAAAAGTCTAAATATAAATAATTGTTATTAAATGTTCTTGGTCCAGCACAACCCCCGCCCCTGGGGGTGCCAGGAAAGTTGTCTCTGAAGGAGAATCCAAGTAGTTTCTAGGGAGAAGGGGGAACTGACAACTAATGATGATGGATTTTCAGCATGCTCCAGTCAAAGGCATAGACAGAGGTTTATTTATGAAAGTAGATACATACTCAAGGGAGAATGGGGCTATCACCAGGGGAAAAGACAGCAATTCCTTCCTGTGGGGTGTTAATACTTATGGAGGGCTGTTTCTAGGTTCTATCTAGAGATAGAGCCAGGGTGGAGCTTAATTTGGGGCTAGTTGAGACTTGGGAATGCGTCAAGGGCACGTGCTCGTGCTCAGGAGTTCCAGTTGTTCCTGGCTGTGTTGGTTCATCGGTGTTTACCCTGGGACTCAGTATTTCTCCCTTTATCCCCCAGTTTCTAATTCTGGCAAACAGTCAGCAGCTCCTGGGGCTGCCTCAGGGCGGGGGCGGGGGGGGGGGGGCTGCAAAATCACAGCTGCATTTGAACTTCCTCATCAGTGAACTTCCAATTCGATCTTAGTACAAGTACCCTAAAGTCAGTATCATCTACTAATAGTTTGTTCCTGGAGTATCTGAAATGCGAATTTAACTGGGCATCCTGGATTTTATCTTTTGCTAAATACCCTGGTCCGGGTGCCTGAATGCTCTGCCTTCTGCCCTCTGCCCAGCCAGACGCTGCAGGGCCCCCGGCTTCTGAACTAGCATCCCCTACTATGAAGGTTCGAAAACCAGCAGCATCAGCTATAGCGGTGTCTATGCCAAATATTACAAATCTCGCGAGAACGCTTAGGGCCCGGAAGTGTGGCCTGTGTCCCGGAAGTGTGGCAGGTGTGCCAGAATTATGGCCAATGGCTGGCGTGGCTCTGCACCATCTGGACCACAGTTCCTGGGTCTGAATCTAGGGCCAAGTCCTCATTTGGGGGCCTGAAGTGAGAAGAGTTAGGCTCCCTCTGCCCGAACTGTGTGTGCATGAGTTTACAAACTCCATTACAGAACCTTCACAAATGAATCTCTAAATTATTCAAGTTTTATGGTTTATATCCTCCTACCCCACAAAATATACCTCAAGCCCTGGTGAAGGGAAAGGGAGAAAGTAGCGGCGAGGTGACCTGCAGAGGGGAGACTGGCCTGGGCTGGCTGTGCTGCCCTAGGTCCCTGGGAGTCTCACTGATGAAAGACCCAAGTGAGCCAAACCCTGGCTTAAAACTCTATGTTAATCCCACCCTTGCCTGAGCCGGATCCTCCTCAGTCCCAGTGTATTGTCTAGAAGTACAGTAGACTTCCTGAATAAAGAGTTATGCACAAAACCAGCAAACGCTTTTTCACAGACACTATACACTATGCAGAGACAGTGGAGGGCATTTTAAAACGTTTAATTAGGGAACTATTGAGTGCTGGCCCAGGGTCTCACCACAGACACCCCTGCTTCATCTGTTACTGACTCCTGGAAGGACTTCCAGTTTACTCTTTGATGTATTTCCTTAAGTTTTTTTTTTTTTTTTTTTTTTTTTTTTTGAACCTGCAGCTATTCTGATAACCCTAAGTACGGCTCAAATATTTAGGCCACATTAAAAAAAAAAAAATAGACATAAATACACATCTGTTTCTCTTTCATATCTGTTTATCCTGGTTTTAAGATCTTGAACTTTGATGTTTTATTGTAAATGCCATATACCTATAGAATAGCAGGTAAAACACATATGCTTATTGTCAGCCGAATTATAAAGCAATTACTCATATAAATACCATTAGGTTCAAGAAATAGAATATTGCCATCATTGTAGAAGTCCTCAAGTGTCCCCCCCTCCCCTCATCAAAAATGCTTCCTCATCTCTAGAAGGAAACCATTTTTCTAAGTGTTGGGGTATGAACTGATAAATACAGTCAATAAGAGTGTAAGTTATAGGTTATAGATTAGTAAAAAATTTAGAGATATAAGATTTTGATAAGTGAGATAATTATTAAGCAAGAACTGTCCTATACTGGCCCAAGACTCCATTTTGCTGCCTCCTATAAAAAACTGTTCCAAGAGCTCTTTCTGAGAAACTGAAATGAAGGCTATTTTCTTATAATATATTGTTTTCTGTACTTTGTACCTCACAAAATGTACTCAACCCAGGATATGGTGGTCTTGGTGACCCAAGACTTTGAAGTAAATTCTCGTCCCTGCTAACCACCTGCTTGAACTCAGGATACAGTTGTCTAACACTTGCTCAAACCCAAGATGCATGCGATTGTCTTGAGTTGCTGTGCTAATTGCTGTCTTAGCTTCCATGGTTGGCTTGCTTGCATGATGCTAAGGAAAGTCCCTGAGCTGTGGTTTTTGTCCTTAAATTCCCAAGCCACAGGCCAGGAAATTGCTGTTCTCTTACATAGCTTCAGTCTCTATGGGTGGGTGACAGTCCCTGGCTAGGTAAATATAGCTCTCTTTGATTTGAATTCTGACATAGAGTGTTTTCTGAAGCAGCTCCCAATAACCTCTTGGGGGCCTGTTCGGGATGAAAGAGATATTTCTCTTCTCAGAAATGGGAGAATGCTCAGAAACACCCAAGAGACCTGGTGAGTCAGAGACTAGCTGGGGAAGGCCTCTGAGGAGAACTCCCCAGCCCTGGGTCCTCTCCTCATTGGCTCCTGCCAAACCTGCAAACTGCCTATTTGAGAGCATTTGCAGTTTGCACCTGCGACTTAGTTCTCCTGGGAAAGGTAAGCTTGAAACTTGGAACTTGATTTGAGTGGCTCCACAGTCTGGGGTCGTCAGGTAAGGCTGGATGCAGCATATACTTCCCGGTCCAGGGCAGTGTCGAGATGTTGCCTCTGGCCCATCTGGGTTTAAAAATTGGGGGGTGGGGTGGGGTGGTGGAAACTCCATCTAAATCTCTGGTCAACTAGGTTTGTTTATGGCGCCTTGTCTGTTGTGTGTCTCACTGTTGGTCTCAGTCTCATTATGGGTCAAAATCCGTCCACTTCATGTTCGTTTTGTAAACCCCTTAAATGTTTTTTGTCTAACTTTAAAGAGTTTTCAAAGAGAATAACTAATGATAAAACATCATGTAATGCTTCCTCTCTCAGAAAACTTTGTGAATTAGACTGGTCAGGCTTTAAGTCGGATGGCCCCCAGAAGGGATTACCGGCCTCTCCACCGCCTATCAAGTTCATAGAGTCATCTCCGGGTGGCCTGGCCATCCAGATCAGTTGCCCTATATACAGATTTGGATTGAAATCCTCCTAGAAGAGCCAAGATGGTTAAGATTTTGCCTTACAGGAACAGCTAAAAAACCAAAACCAAAACTTGTCTTGCTAACAAAACCTTCCTCCCTGAAGAAGAGTCCAACAAGAGAGCTCCTAGGACCTGGATCTTCCTCCTCTGGATCCCTCTGTTCCTCAGGTGCCTAGTACCCGCTCGATGCCCAAGCCTTCCCATCCTATACCCAAACTCCGGTCCCTATACTTCCCCTCTGTCAGGCTCCCCCTTCCACATCGGGAGAAAGAGGAAACCGTTTCATAATATATGTTCCTTTTTCTACTAATAATTTCTCTGTTAAAATCAAAAGAAAAGCCCCCAAACTACTCTCTCGGCATTGATGGCCAACCCTCTGATGATCCAGCTCATGTGGAACTCATTTTCCCCTCAATTCGTCCCAATTGGACAAACACAGGTATGGAGGTGACTGATCAGTACGCCAGGCTCCACTGAGAGAGATCAAAGCAGCCAGTAGAAACCCCACCAATTTGGCAAAGGTAAGTGAGATATTTCAAGGATCAGATGAACCCCTGGCTGCTTTCCTGGAGTGCCTTCTCAAGGCTTATCATGTGTACACACCCATAAACCCAGAGGTTCCAGAGAATAGAAGGGCTCTTAATATTGCTTTTGTAACATAATCGGCCCCAGATATTAGGAAAAAGTTACAGAGACAGGAAGGATTTAAGGGAAAGATGCTGTCAAAATGGGTGGAAATAGCCCAAAGGGTCTACAATAGCAGAGATCCCCCAACAAAGAAAAACAGGCTAAAAGGTTGACAAGAGTCACGGTGATGGCTATGTCAGAGTCTCAAGGCACCTTAAGGCCTCAAGCCCCTGGACAACAACCCCCAAGGGCTCCACTCCCTAAACAACAATAGCCCCCAGGAATGGAAAGTAAGGGGCCAATTTCTAATGAGAACTGACTTAAAAAAGGGAGGATAACTCACTTGTTCCTTGTGAGGCACAGCCAACCTGTCATTAAAAGGGCCAGAAGCTTTTATATGCATATATATGTATACAACACACACACACACACACACACACACACACACACTTGTCCAATTGAGGAAGAATACCTGCTCTTAACAAAAGACCCCTGTACCCCACCTTCTGATGTCCTCACCAGATTCCAAAAAAAAAAAAAAAAAAATCCCAGGGGTTTGGGCAGAATCCAATTCTCCTGGCTTAGCGGAGCACCTGCCACCTAGTATAGTGCAGCTCAACAGCACTGCCACTCCTGTGCAGATCCGCCAGTATCCTATCAGACTGGAAGCTAAAAAAGTCATAGCCATTCATATCCACAGGTTGCGGGGAAGCTACTATCCTGATCCCCTGTCAATCAGCCTAAAACACGCCATTGCTGCCTGTCCAGAAACCTGAGACAAAAGACTACGGACTGGAACAGGACCTAAAAGAAGTCAACAGGATGGAAAGCATTCATCCCATAGTACCAAATCCCTACACTCTTCTCAGTTCATTGCCTCCTTTTCGCCAAGTGTACACTTTCCTGGATCTCAGAGATGCCTTCTTCAACTTGCCATCAGCTAAGCTAAGCCAACCAATTTTTACTTCTAAATAGTCAGATCCAGACGGGAGATTTTTAGGACAATTGACTTGGACACAGTTGCCATAAGGATTTAAAAACTCTCCAACTCTATTTGATGAGTCCCTAAGCTGGGACCTCACAGCTTACAGGCAGCAACACCCTGAGACTGAACTTTTACAATATGTAAATGATCTCCTGACAGCAACCCAAACTATGACTAAATGTGAACAGGCCACCAACAACTTGTTAAAAACCTTAGGGTACCGGGTGTCAGCTAGAAAGGCCCAATTGTGCACCTCAACAGCCACCTACTTGGGCTACCACCTGAAAGAAGGAAAAAGGATTCTGTCGCAGGACAGAATTAAAGCAATCATGCAGATTCCTCGCCCCAAGACTAAGTGTCAGGTACGAGAATTCCTCGGGGCCATTAGGTATTGCCACCTTTAGATCCTTGGTTTTGCTGAACTAGCCCAGCCCTTGTATGTTAGTACAGGGGGGAAAAAGGACTCTCTGACTTGGACTGAAAAAACAAAAACAAACAAACAGACAAACAAAAACAAGAGACATTTGACAAACTGAAGCAAGCCCTAGTCTCTGCTCCTGCATTGGACCTCTCAGATGTTCTGAAGCCATTTCAGCTGTTTGTACATGAAATCAGGGGAATAGCCAAAGGATGCAAACTCAGACTTTGGGGCCATGGAAACATCTATCCAAAAGACTGGACTATGTTGGGGCAGGATGGCCAAACTGCCTCTGAGCCATCGCTGCCACAGCAATCCTGGTTAAGGAGGCAGATAAGCTTACGTTGGGGCAAGATTTATAGGTGGTAGCTCCACATGTGGAAATCTTACTCTGGAGCCCTCCAGAGCACTGGCTCTCCAACGCTCGTACCACCCCACACCAGGCCCTTCTTCCAGACCAGCCCAGAAAAAAATTCCTAAAAACTTCAGCTTTTCACCCTCATCCTGATGATGATCCCTCTAGGCCACTGCACGACTGCCAGGAAATCTTGGAGTTGACTCCAGAATGTCCAGTGGGACCTGATGGACACACCGTGGCCAGACCCAGATGAGACATGCTACTCTGATGGCAATAGCTACGTCCAAAATGGAATCAGGTATGTGGGGACAGCTGTAGTTACTTTAAATGAAATTGTCTCGGCTCAGCCTCTGGGACATAGAACTTCTGCACAAAAGGCAGAGCTAATTGCACTTACCTAGGCTCTCAGACCCGGCAAAGGAAAATCTGTTAATATCTACCCTGTCAGTAGGTATGGTTTTCCTACTGTTCATGTACAGGGAGATCTCTATAAAGAATTTACAGGAACAGACTACAAAGAAAAACACCAAGAGAAAAATAAGAAGTGGACTTCACTAAAGTAAAACCCAGACAATATGGTTATAAATATTTGCTGATATATGTGGACACTTATTCAGGAGATAATTCCTCAATTTGGCCTCCCAATAGCCATGGGGTCCGATATGGCCCAGCTTTCATAGCTAAGATAACTCAAAATTTATCTAAAATCTTTAGAATTAAATGGGACGTACATTGTATATAGGCCTTAGAGTTTAAGACAAGTAAAAAGGATAAATAGAAATCTAAAAGACACCCTTACTAATTACACTTGGAGATTGGCATAGACTGGACGGGTCTTCTTTTTCCCTTTGTTCTAAGACCACCCCTGCTGGTTCCCAGACTAAAAGATAAAAAACTAGCTGAAATAAGTGACCACTCATTTCTTAAGTCCTCACAGGCTCTCCAGCAAGCCTCCCACAGACTCAGGCTTTAACAAAGAGTCCGGCAGCTAGCTGCAGGAGAGAACTTCACTCACCTATTCCAGCCGAGCCATTATCCATTCACCTTGGAACCTCGCGGGCACAGACCCTTTCCAGCCATCCTGACCACTTCTACTGCTGTAAAAGTCACTGGAAAACAACATTGGATTCATCACTCCCAAATCAAGAAGCCAGCTCCAACAGAAGATACAGCCGAGGACAACCGACGATGAACAGTACCCTAGATTTTTACTTTCTGTTTTTGTTTCCCTTTCAGACATGCACACTGCACACAGCGGTACTTGGAAATTCTTGAGGCCAGAAAAAGACAGGAAGCCTGCTTCTAAAGATTAGACTGCTGGTCCTTGAAAAATATGATTATGACATGGTCAACTTAGATAACACGAAACTTAAATAAACAATGATTTGATTTAGTCTCATAAAACCAGTGGGGAATGTTGTGGTGTGAACTGATAAGTACAATCAATAAGAGTGTAAGTTATAGGTTCTAGATTAGTAAAAAATATAGATTAGAGATATAAGATTTTGTTAAGTGAGATAAGACAATTATTAAGCAAGAGCTGTCATAGACAGCCCTAAGACTCCATTGTGCTGCCTTCTATAAAACACTGTTACAAGAGCTGTTTCTGAGAAACTGAAATAAAGGCTGTTTTCTTATAATGTATTGTTTTCTGTACTTAGTACCCTACAAAATGTATTCAACCCAGGATATAGTGGCCTTGGTGATCCAAGACTTTGCACTAGATTCTCGCCCCCTACTAACCACCTGCTTAAACTCAGGATATGGTTGTCTAACACTTGCTCAAGTCCAAGATGCGATTGTCTTGAGTTGCTGTGCTAATTGCTATCTTAGCTTCTATGATTGACTTGCTTGCATGATGCTAAGGAAAGTCCCTGAGCTGTGGTTTTTGTCCTTAAATTCCCAAGCCACAGGCTAGGAAATTGCTGTTCTCTTACATAGTTTCAATCTCTATGGGTGGGTGACAGTCCCTGGCCAGGTAAATAAAGATCTCTTTGATTTGAATTCGGACTTAGAGTGTTTTCTGAGGCAGCTCTCCATAACACTAAGCTTGATGTAATGGTGTAAACAATACAGTTTCACTTTGTCTTTTAAAAATGCTGCATAAATAAAATCAAACTACATGCATCATTTTGTCTTGCTTCTTCAACAGTATAAATATGTGAGATTCACCCAGGTTGCTCCACATAACAGTAATTTATGCATTCTCTATTCCTCAAATTCCACTGAATTAATATTACAATATATTTATCTATACTATTGTAATTAAGCAGTGTGTATTGCTTTCAGTGTTTGCCTGTTGTAATACTGCAAATTCTTAGATGTGTCTTCCAAGAGATTTGTCAGTTTTTGAAAGTGGTACCAATCTACTTTTCCTCCTGTATTGTATGAGCATTTCAATTGCTCTGCATTGTCACCAACAGTTATATTACTATTCTTTAACATTTAGCCTTTCTAGGGGGGGCATGTAGAGATTATCTCATCATTGTTTAAATTTATGTTTCCCTGATTAATGTTGAGGTTTAACATCTATTCATGGTGACTACCTTTTGTTGATGCTTTATTGTATAGTATCAAGTCTTTTCTGGGGATCTTTACAACAATAAATTTGGAAATATAGAGGAAAAGGATAGCTTTCTAAAGTTGTAGAACTTATTGAAGAGAATTTAACATCTGAACAGTCCTATAATTATTAAAGAAAACTACAGAGAATGGTAGTAGGTTCTGTGTTCTAGATCCTTCTACAAAGTATTCTAATACTTTGATAATTCCAATCTTACATAATTTCTCCCTCCATGTGTCATAGAAAGAATATCACAGTTGGTAAATAATTTTTATTGGGCTAGTATAACTTTGATCCTAAAAGCAACCTAGAAAACAAATTACCAATATCCTCTAACAACTTAAGTCATTAAACAAGACAAAACAAATTGGCAAAATGACTCTAGCTATATACTTAAAAAAATTTCTTGATCAAGTTAAATTTTTGCAGGAATGCAAAAATATTTAAACGTTGAAAATTGTATTATTGCAATTCATCATAATAATCTGTAATGTTCAAAACTGTTGGGAAAAAAAAGCTTTTCAGTAAAATCCAAAGTCCATGTAAACCCAAAATCAAACAAACCTCCCCTACCGAAACCAAGAAAAGCAAACTTAGCAAACTAGGAATAGAAGGGAATTACTTAGTCTGATAAAGAGTCCCTAATAAAAACCAATAGCAAAACCATTCCAAAAGGTGAAATAGTAGAAGCTTGTTTATCCCTTTAAAATAAGAAGGGAGTCAAGGGTAGACATCATTATTTAGCTAAACTATTCAACCTTAGAGTCCTAGCCAGCCCAATTAGTTGTTAATAGAAAGATTATAGAGAAGAATTTAAAAGTGCTACTATTCACAGAGAACATGATTACTTACTAGAAGAAAACTCCCAAAAGAATCTAAAGAGAAGTGAGGAAAATTTATAAAAGTTCAAGTTATAAGAGGCATATACCAAAGCCATGTGCATATTTATATACTGACAACAATTAGAAAACGAAAGATATTTTAAATGACATTCACAATAACAGTTACAAAAAAAAAAAAAAAAAAAAAAAGGACCTAAGAGTAAATCTAACAAAAAATGTTGAAAAAAATTCAGGGAAAAATTATTTAACTTATAATAGACATTAACTAATAAGATCCAAATCTTTCCCCAAAGGAGAGCTATACTGTGTCCATGGGCCAGATGATTAAACATCACTAAAATGTTGATTTTTTTCAAACATAGGTTCAATACTCCAACATATGGGGGCAGGCAATGACTTTCTCAATAGACCCCTAAAGCTCAGGAGATAAAGCCAAGAGTTAATAAATGGAATGGCATCAAATTAAAAAGCTGATGCACAGCAAAGGAAACAGTTAAGAATGTGAAGAACCCATAGAATGGGAGACAATCTTCACTAGCTACTCTTCTGACAGAGGATTAATATCCAAAATGAAAGGAAAGTGACTAAGACACTCAGAGCGACCAAGAGATCTTTATTGTGGTGGTGTCTGATCGACAGGGAAAAAAGAGAGAGAGAGAGAGAGAGAGAGAGAGAGGAAAGAGAGAAAAAAGGCGGGGGGGGGGAGAGAGAGAGGAAAGAGTGAGAGAGAGTGAGGGGGGCCCGGCAGGAGAGAGTTTTTATAGCCAAAATCTAATGGGGTCTCTGGGTCTGCAAGCTGCCTTGTTGGTGTACAATGATTGGATCATACAGTAGTTGCTAAGGGTGTCATCTTCTGCCCTCAGGCTGACCGGGCAGATGTTGGTCGTGGGTTCCGTTGCACCAGGCGGGTGGGAGTTGAGTGTTCAGCCTTGAGTGGGGTTGAGTGTTCAACCTTGAGACAACAAGAGATAAGGAACCAGACAGATGGGGGCTGAATGTCCAGGCTACCCTGCAGCTAACATTCGGTCAGCCTGCTCTGCAACTAACACAAAATGTATAAAGAACTCAAAAACTTAACAACAAAACAAAACAATAATAAATGGGCAAATGAACTAGAATGACACTTCTCAAAGGAAGAACTACAAATGGCCAGCAAATATGAAAAAGTATTCAATATCATTAGCAATTAGGGAAATGCAATTGGAAACTACACTGAGATTTCATCTTGTCCTAGTTAAAAACATCAATTAATAAGAATACAAACAATAGCAAATGCTGGAGAGAATGTGGAGAAAAAGAAACATTTTTATACTGTTGGTGGGATAGTAAATTAGTACAACCACCAGGCATGAAACCACCATATGATCCGGCTATCCCACTCCTCCTTTTTAAAGAATTAAAAACCCAACATAGTACAGTGACACATGCATACCCATGTTTATAGCAGCGAAATTCACAATTAGCCAAACTATGGAACCAGTCTACATGTTCATCAGTGGGTGAATTGATAAAGACAATGTGGTGTGTGGAGTTTTATTTAGTCATAAAGACGAATGAAATTATGTCATTTGCAGGAAAATAGAACTTGAAAACAGTATGTTAAGCAAAATAAATTGAACTCAGAAAGCCAAGGGTTGTGTATTTTCTCCCACATGTGGAAGCTAGAGAGGAAAAAGGGAAAAGAAAGGTGTGTGTGTGTGTGTGTGTGTGTGTGTGTTGGTAGGTATCTCCTAAAAAACAACAGGAGATCAGCAGAGTAAGGGACCAGGGGGAGGGAGGAGGAGAGAAAAGGAGGAAAAACTGGGATATGATATTAGTCAAATTATATTGTTATATTGTGTGCATGTACAAATATGTAACCACAAATCCCACCATTATGTACAACTATAATGAACCATTAAAATATGCAAAAATGTCAATTCTTCTTCAATTAATCTTCAAGTACTGAAATTTCAGTCAAAATCATGATGGATGTTTTCAAAGACTTCATTGTCATGCTTGGTTCTAGAATTTGAACAGAAGAGCAAAAGGCCAAAGTAACCAAGAAAATTTTAAAGATCAAGTTGAGGTGGGATTTTCCCTACTAAACATCAAAGCTTGTTTTTTTTTTTTTAAAAAAAAAAAAAAAAACTATAGTAATAATAAAAAAAACTATAGCAATCAAGGCAATGTGCAGAAATTGGCCACCTAAATGGACCAATTGGTACCCAGAAATATGGTAAGTGAGGGTGATATACTGAAGATTTTTAGAAAAGATAGAGTTATCAAAAATTGTTCAAGGATTATAAACCATCCAATAAACAACAGTTAGTCCCCCATCTTAATTTCCTGAAGAATAAAGGAAAACAAAATTTAGAAACCTTTTGAAGTACATACTTAGAGGACATAAAGATCTATGTGGTTTGAAAAAGGAAAACACAAAATAGGAGAAGGTGTCATTAACCCATTTAAACTAAGAAAGGGTTAATAGACTATATGAATCACTTGTACAAATCAGTCAGAAAATCATAAACAACCCAATAGAAAATCATAAACAACCCAATGGGTGAAAGATATGATTCAGCAATTTATAGAAGAGAGAATATTAACTTTTTTTTTTCTTTTTGTGTACTGGGGATTGAACTCAGGGGCACTCAAACACTAAGCCACATCCCCAGCCCTATTTTCTATTTGATTTAGGAACAGGGAGGGTCTCACTGAATTGCTTAGTGTCTCACTTTTGTTGAGGCTGGCTTTGAATTTGTGACCCTCCTGCCTTAGCCTACCTAGCTGCTGGAATTACAGGCGTGTACCACCGTGCCTGGCCTGATGAGCTTTTGAAAAGTTGGGGTTCAACCTCACTTGTAATCCAGAAATGAAAATGACAGTCAAAATGATGTGGCACTATATGGCTGTGAGATTTGCATATTCTGGAACTTCTGAAATACCAAGTATTGATATACACATGGACCAATAGAGACAAATGTTACTGCTGCTATTGGTAGAAATTAATACAACCACTTTGGAAGCAGTATGGCATTAAAGATTATGTTCTGTTTGGCAATTCTACTTCTATGTGCACTAACTAACAGAGAAACACGTATATAGAACACTGATATGTACTGGAATACTTACAGAAATACCATTTGAAAACAAAACCAAATGGAATCACCTCCATCTGACCTCAGTGAATTATTGAACAAATTACACTACAACCAACCTGTGGAATTCTATATAGAAGTGAAAATGAATGGACTAGAGTTTGGCAAACTTCAGCTTTCAGCCAAATCTGGCCCATTATTTAATTTTATATATCTCAGAACTAAGAATGGTTTATAAAATGGACCTTTGCAATAAGATAAGGAACTCTAACTTTGGTATTATTCCATTCAAAAGGACTTCACTCTTCTAGACCTGTATTACCAACAAAAATTGTATTATTATTGTTACATTTTGAATTTCATCAATAGAGATTTGTGGAAATTTTTCATTCCCTCTTATCATATAAGTGCCTACATAATATTGTTAATTTTCTTCTTGGTCCACAAAGCCTAAGTATTTACTATTTTACTCTTTACAGAAGGAGGATTTACCATACACACACATCAGATAGAGCACTAATCTTCAGGATATAAAAAGAACTCGAAAAACTTGGCACCAAAAAGACAAGCAACCCAACCAATAAATGGACCAAGGAACCACACAGATACTTCTCAGAAGATATACGATCGATCAACAAATAT